ATACACCTAATTGTAACAGCTGGTGACAGCATGGGCTTTCCTCATCACAGACTTTGGCCTTTCTTATCAATCATATTAATTGACCTCAGTGTCAATTTCTTTACATTTTTGTAAACTGGCTTCTTTACATGTTTTGTAAACTAACCTATAGACCATAACTTTTAAATCCAAACAGTTTTCTCTCAATTACAGGACAATGGTTTTTGCTGATGACTAATATCCTTTGATCATTCTTAGTAATCCATATTTTGCAAAGATACTTATTTCAGAGAACACCAAGTAACTGCAAACCTTACGAAATGTTAACTTTAATGACTGCTGTATAAAGACACCTTGCACATACCTGAACAACATCCAAACAAAGACACTTTCATATTTTAAGAACAGGAAGTCAGAAATACTTGAGAAAAGACATTTCTGAAAGACTATACAGGTTATGACAGTTGACTATGATATTACTGTCTCAGTACAGCTACATGCCTGCAAAATGCTCTAACCGACCAAGCAAAGAAGAGAATGTCATGATTCTGACAATTTCAACACAGAAACTGAAAGCATCCAAGTATCCTTACTGAAGCTGACAAAATGCAGAGTTAAAAATCAGAGAACGTTGTGAAACTCTACCAAACCTTTAAAAACAGCAGCAGTCAGAGATGGGAGTACAATTATGAGGTACAGATAATTAAATGAAATATGATTAGAGGGCACAGAGTAACATTCACTTAGGCAAAATACCTAGGAAGTACAACCTAAAATCAAAGATAGGCAAGAACTGTAGCTAGGAGTGCAACTGAAAGACACGTCACTTCTTTGTTCTGGTATAATAACACAGCCCTGATCATCTTAATCTATGCAAAACTAGTTGTTCCAGAGATTACAAATAAAAACAGAAAACAAAAAGGTCATAATCAAAACATAAGATACAACTGCCCATCAGCTTACTGCATTTGCTATGTACTACTGAAATAAGCAGGCAGAAAATTGTCCTGAAATTCAGAGAAGCTTTTCAGTATTGAGTTAAAAATGTTATGAAGTTGGTATTTTTCAGTCTTCTTAACATCATTTTGCCTAATTCTGTCTTACTACATGAAAAATTAATATGTGATTCAACAGCTGTTTCTTCTGCTGCTGCATTGACAAATGCTGGTTTATCACATTTCTTTTTTTTCCCAACATTCATGCTTAGGCATGGAACCCCTGATAAAACTGATGTTTCCTAGTGAATGACATTTCTAATTCTTTAAAATCAAGCACCACACCACAAAAGCCCAAATATCCCGTAAAGCACGGTTACAACCATTCCCAGTATCAGTGTGTCCATGGTACTTTATAACACAGCCAGGTACAGGGTATAATGATCTCCAAGGATGTGGCTGAAGTCTTACTATCCAAGGACTGATGTATCAAAAGCTGGTCCAATGCAAATTACCTGATTTATGCACTTATTATGTTCATTGTTTTCCAAAAACTAAATCACAAAACTAAAGAAACTCTTTTGGTTTCCTTTCCCAATGTTCTCGTGTTCCAAGTTGGCAAATCAGCTCAAGTACAGGTCTTGTTTATGCCTTGTGACTATCAGTGGTTTAAACTGCTGTTTGTACATGTTCTAATTAGCCAGTTCTACCCAACTCTTGACAGTTGACATCACTGCTCAAAGAAGTTCAGGAGACCAACAAATCTGGAAGGATTGCCAATCCATTGAGTTAGTAAAAAATGAATATCTATGAATTTGTATTCAATACAGAATTATAAAAGTCATTTTTCCAAACAAGCATTAACTTTCACTCTTTTTCAGATAAAAGCTGTCAAAAGTGTATCACAACTCTTCACAAAATACGCAGGAAAAAAACCATCCCATACCACTAGTGGGTGTTACTGGAGAAAGCCCTGTTTCATGGGAAAAAACATTACCAGGGCCCAAAAGGAATAAATAACAGGATATAAAATATTCTGAAAGTTTTAAAAGGCCCCTAGGCCTAGACTTATTTTTAAAAAGCAAATTGTTGTCTAGTGATTAAAATAAGTAAATATAAAATGCTTTTACCTCTATCATCCATGTTGGTACATCAGTATGTGAACAGGCACCAAAAAAAACCCCCAAATTCCAATTATTACACTCAGAAGACAAAACCATTGCCATAATTAAGTGCATTGCAAAATAAGGCAGTGATGGCTAACGATACACTGGTTTAGTTTGTTCTTTAGATGTGAACCATAACTGTCATGTAAACACTTGGCCTTTTAAAAGCATTTTTACATGCTGAAGTTGTAGTGCATTATATAAAATTCTGAACTGCTATGATTACAGTGGTGTCCTCAATAACTATACAAGGCTTGCTGCAGAAATAAAGAGTAAGCATTAGAAAGCATGCAGCTAAAAAGTTAAGATATTTGTAACTTAAGAACTGTAAGCCACATTAAGTGAGTTTCTAGCCCATGCTAGAAAAAGCTTTATAATAATTGAGTTTGATTTTTAAACATGATCTTGTCCATTTTCACATTATAACATATAATGCATTCAATAAATACACAACTAGAATATACAACTTTTTAAATACAGCTCATTTACTTTCTTGGACAAAAAATAAAAACTGATTTGTATATGGAATATCAACAGCTTCCACTTAACATGAAAAGAGGGTCAAGAGCAAACTCATGGAAAGATTTTAATGTAGACTATTCAATGAACCAGATTTCAAAAAAGCCTTTCCCAACTGCACTTTTTAGATGCAATTACTCGAATATACTGCTGGACAGAAACTTATTAAGATGAGTATAACATTCTTTTTATTTTTTTTTTTTCCCTAGCAGCAGGTAGTCATTTAAGAAATTACAAGATTTGTATGTTACTAGGCCATTCAAAAATTCTGCATCCTTTTACTGTAAGAGCTCCACATCGTAACAGTAACACATGCAGACTGAGCATCTTAACATCCCTGTCATAAGCTATACCATATTTACACATTGCAGCGTTAGGCAGAAATTGAAGCCAGAGCCATTCAGGGGAAATATACAGCCATGATCTGTTTCTCAATTTAAATTATATTTGCAATTATAAATTAGGTATTTCACTAAACGCTAGTGGCATTTTACATATTAAAAAGATCAATTAATGCACTACATTCTTAGCCAAGCCTAAAATAAATGACTCCCCACATTCAAACTATAATTTGCTCCAGACAACATGGGCTTTAATTTGCAAACTCTTCAGTACGGATGTAGGCAGAACCCACCTCATGATTTGTGTAGAGCTCCATCCTGGGTAAACACACAGCTACACAGCACAGTATGCAAATAAAAGGTATGAACCTCATTGCGTTATCCTTCCTAAAGATTTTTTAAGTCAGACTCATTATTGTCAAAGCAGTATTTAAATTAGGCCAGGAAAAAAAAAAAGCTTTCATCTTTCCAATTTAAGTGGCCCTTTTAATGCCAAGTCAACATTATAATGGTTTATCTATGTTGGAAAATTAAATCCAGTTTGTTCTTTCAAACACAAACAATTTTAAAGGAAAATTTTCACCATGTATTCAAACATGTGATTTTATGATTTCATATCTGTTACTTCTACATTAATTATTCAAAACAAGCCTCTCTCATGTCACTTAGAGACGTGCAAATGTACATAACAAGAGCTGTGTGTGACTATACAGAATTCTTATAACAAAGCAATATGGCAATTTCTTTAACATCTTAAGCACATAAAATACCAGATCACCCACTTCCTTTTTCTTCCAATTCTAATACGAAAAACAAATCTGAATTTGGTAGTAAGTCTAATTTCATAAATGTTTTCTTCTCAGTATTTAACCTTTGGTGATATAGTTTCCAGTTTAATTAATACAATAAAAAAGCGGGGGAGAGAGAAGTAATGGAAGAACGTCAAACCAGGCTTGCTCTTGTAGCTATACCGTGATACCTACAAGAATGTTGCTATTGATCTTCTGTTAAATTACAAAAGAACAGAAATTATGCACCAAAATAAAAAAAAAAGAAACGGATGCTTTTTTAATTACTACGTTTGTATTATAAGTAAATTTTGCTCATAATATCATAACACTATTAGCAACCACTAGCAAAGTGCCAAAGACAGCACTGAGTTTAAAACAACTAGAGCCAGCTACCAAAATTGTTGCAGGAGAGACAAAGGGGATCAAGGTCAACATTCTTCTAGCGCAACAGCTAATCCACTCATATGAACATCGTATTGGCACGGGTGGGCGTAATAAATTTGCAAGAAATATAAAATATACACGATCCCACCTGATTTTCCCCGTCTTTTCGAGAGAACCATTTTGCTCTCGTTGGTCTCAAGCCATTACATATCTGAGCGAGGAAGGGGAAGGAGGAGTTCACAGAAGTTCAGGGTCAGACAATGTTCACGTATCCTGTCACCTTCTAACTCAAAGCTCAGAGCAGAAGAACTCTTATGGCACGCATTGAAACCTACATATTTTGGGTGTGCGTGTGGGGGGAGACCTGCAATAGGAGCGATGTGTCATACGTGCGGAGGCTGCGAGCAGAAGAGCTGTCAGGAGAACGCAGCCTCGCTTGAAGAGAAGGAGGCGGTGGGGAAAGGACGGTGACGAACGCAGGATCACCAAAAAATCCGGCAGTGCTCAGGGGCTGCCATCCCCGGCTCACCCCTCCGGCCCGGCTTCGCTCGGCTCCCGTCGCAGAGGGCTCAGCCTCTCGGAGCTGCCCCCTGGCCCCGCGGAGCCGCTCCCAGCTGCCACCGGGCAGCGGAAATCCCCCGCAGCCCGGCCCGACCCTGCCCGGGGGCGCCGAGCGGCGCTCCCCGCGCCCGGGGCTTCCTGGGCAGCCCCCGGCCCTCTCGCGGGGCGCTCTCCCACGACCACCATCACTTCCCCCCTGCTCCGGGGCCGCGCTGTCACATCACCCCCCGCGACGTCCCACGCACCGCAGGCCGAGAGCCAACACCCCGCCGCGAGCCGGACCCGCACCCCTGGGCCGGGAGACAATGAGCAGCCACAACTCACCAGCAGCGCCGGAGCTTCGCGGGTCCGGGGGCGGTTCCTTTGCCCCTTCTTCTTCCCCTTCTCCTCCGCCTAGGAGCGGTATCCGGCCGCCGGGAGGCGAACCCCCCCTCCCCTCGCCGCCCGAGAGCCTTCGCCGGACCGCCGGCCGCGCTCCCTCCCCGAGGAAAGTCACTTTATTCCCCGCTCCAACATGGCTGCTCCCCCCGCCGCTGCCGCCGCAGCAGCAGCTTTCTCCTCGCCGCGGCTCCCCGCCGCCGCCACCGGAGAGCGGCCGCAGGCCGTGCTCGGGAGCCGCCCGGCCGGCCGCTGGCGGTGCCGAGAGCGTCAGCCGAGCCGGGCCGCGGGGGTGTGCGAGGAAGGGGCAAGCCGAGGCGAGCCGGGCTGGGCTGCGCGTCCCCGCTGCGGGCTGACGCCTCCGCCCGCTCGCACTGAGCCAGCCCCGCCGGCTCCGGGCGCAGGAGGGGCCGCGGGGACGCCCGTGCGCCGGCGACACCTGGCGGCCGAGGCGGCCCCGGCTGAGCCGGCGGCTGCGCGGGGAGCGGGGGGGTCAGGGCGGAGCGCGGGGAATGCCCCGAACGGCGGCGCGGGGAGCGGAGGCTGCCGCAGCGCTTTTCTGGGCCGCCCTCCCCGCTGCGGGGGACCCCGGCCGCGCCGAGCCGAGTGGGGCGCTGCTGCCGTTCGCCGATCCTCCAGCGGCCCTGTGCGGCCGCCTCCTCCCGCGGGAGGAAGTGGGTCTCATCGGTAGAGGCTCCCGGGAAGCCGCCCCGGGGCCCTGCTGGCCGTCCGAGGGGTCTCCCCGAGCCGTTTCTTCTAGGGCAGGGTAGAAAAGGGGCGTTTGCTCGCTTCATTTTTACCCGTTCCTTGGCAGCGTTTCCGCTTGGGTTTGCAGAGCGATTTAGCTCCTCTCTGAGGCATCCCCCTGCTCCCCCTTCCTACGGCTGGCACGTTAATAACCGAAGTTAAGGGAAGCCGGGTGTCTCTTTAGGTCAATTGCTAACTCACGTTTCCCCTATTTATTCTTGTGGTGTTTTCTTTCCTTCCTTTGTCTCCTGCATTCAGCAGTGCCTGTACCATCCCCCTTGTCCTCCTTGTGATCGCTCTGACAGCGCCAACCGTGCTGCCTTCCTGTGCTTAGAATCTTGTTCCCCTCAAAGTGATCCAGTCTGTGTTTCCTCACTTCTCAGCCCTTTCCAGCTTAAATTTCTTAGGCTTAATGTGTCACTGAACGAGACCTAGAAGGTGAAAGCTAGCTAGGTGAAAGCCAGCTGTTCTGTACTATGTTTTTTCACATTTCCATCACACAAAGAACAAGATCTGTCAGGAAGGCCACATCTGAACTGATTTTAGTGACATGGTTTTGAACGTTAAGTGCCAGGGCATAGGTACACTTGGGCCAGAATTTGGAAAATGGTTTGCTTTTTTCCCTTTTGGACATCTGCTGATCCTTGCTGCCTACCTGCTCTCTTGCTTTTTTCAGTTCAAATTTGGTGTCATGGGGCCTTTTCCCATCTTCATGCAGACCAGAGTTATGGGCCTTAGCTTCCCCACACTCCTGTGGATGCTGAGTGAGGCCAAAACCGCTTCGTTCTGCAGGCAGGTCTGTACTGTGCTGTGTCTAGGTGGAGACTAGAGCACATTTTCATTTGCAGAAGCAAGCCCCTGATCTTGAGGAACTCTGTGTGCAGCTTATTCGAGCCAGGCCCTCTCCACAGTTGGGCCAAGGGGGAGCTGCCTTCACAGGAGCAGTGCCAGCTGAAAATTCCCCTGCTTCCAGCTCTGTTGACCCTTCCAACAGCACAAGCAAACCAGAACACAGACAAGTATGTTTCCCAGTAAACAGAAGTCAATTTCTCTTGCCTAAAAAAGGAGTGCAAGCATGAAACCACTTCTTAAATGCACAGAAATTCACTTTGCTCATGCTGATGTAAATTTCTAGTAAAATCGGTTTACGATAAAAAGAAGTAAACATGACTCAGAAACAAACGTTCTGTTTATACAGACATAACATGATTACCACGGTATTTTTGCATGTTTTCAAGATGCTGGATAGCTACCTTACATTTGCAAAACTTGTGGGATTTTTAATAACACAGAGAAAGCAGACACTCAAGCTTTGAACTTTCTGGTAATGCAAAGATACCTCTTACAGATCTCCTTTAAAGCTCAGGACCTACCAGTTCCTGCTAGACCTACCAGTTCTGATCTTTGAATGCTAACTAGATGATGTATGTTTTGTTTTATCTTATTCAATTTGAAGGCTATTTTGGGTACGTAGTAACATTAGAAATGATAGTGTGCTAGTTTATTATGTGCATGATTTGTAAAACAAGCTTCTGAGACAGCACAGTAACGAGTGCAGCATGTCCATTTATTGCAGCACATCCAAGTAAAGGCTGTTCCACCTATGAAGTACAGAGGGAACGTGGGTTGGAAGTTTATGAAGCCGTCTTTTTATATAATAAAAATATCAGTAAAATATGTTCATTTTACTTGATTCATAAGTCTGCTGTTCATACTTCTGTTATTACAGGAAAAGTAATTATGGCAAATAAAGGAAGAAACTTAAAAAATGAGCAGTTAGGCTGAGTCACCCAAGAAATAAGGGGTCAACACTAACTGCAGTGTAATTAGAGTATTTTAGGGTTTTCCACTTGTAATGGGGAGAACTATGAATTTTTAACAGGGAAGAGTTTGTAATGGTAGAACACTTGATATCCATTTGGCCTTTGTATCTGCCACTACCTTATGACCTCAGATAAAGATTTTCACATCTGGACAAAAGACAGTGCAGAAGGAAGACAGAGTGACAGTCTTAGGTTTGAAATGTAGGCACTGGTTTTGATTGATTTATCCCATGGGTCTAGTTTTATAACTATAGCTATTGATTTGTTTTATTATTTAGTGGATTATGTAGCAATCAATCATATTTCCATCTAGCTAACCATGATGATTAATATTTTAAACTAGTTTTAAGATGGATTGGCTGGTGAGTGCAATAGGTCTTCTCTCTAATCCAGCTAGAATGGAATACACCCAGGTTACATGGAATGAATTATTGCCACTGGACAATCTGATGAAATCTACATCAGCCATTAGAATCTAAATCTCCAGTAGGAATTCAGTGCTGTCAGGGGACTGAGATTTCCTGCTTTGAAAATGAACATTTTGGATTTACCTCTACATTTCTTCAACAAAAGTATGTAGTTATTCTGTGACAGTAAAAGTATGGGAGTTAAATCAGTGGAGTTCACATAGCGGTAGATGGAAACCCTACAGAAACACATTTTTAACACAATGTATGTAGAAAGCAATGTATGTTACCTCCCTGCCAAGGGGCAAGCTCAAGATTCTGTGTCACTGCATCAGGAGTCAGCGACCTCGCAATCAGCCAGCAGTGTGGGAAAGCATTGTGCTAAACTGCAAGGGATGTGTTCGTTTGCAGGGGAAGGACTGAAAGCCTTGGCAGGTTATTAAAAGAGGAAATGATTTCCAAATACAATATTCTGTTTTGAAATGCAATTGTTTTTTTCTATTGGATGCCAAAAATTTCTGAAGAATGCAATATCCTCTAACTAATTGTATCTGTGCTCTGAGAAAAGAAACAGGGCTATTGTTCTCCTCACAGCACAAGCTATTTATATGTTAGTCTGTGTAGCACTCCTTTCTGTAATTATTGTCTTCCACCTATGCAAAACTCCAATCCATTTAAAATAATCAAATTAAGATAGTTTCTTGCTTTCTTAACATCAAGCTGATATTCATATAAAGCGTTTTCCAGGTTACTTGGATTTAGTACAAGGCCTCTAGGCTAAATACAGTACAATTCTATTACCTCACTGGACAGCCAAACCCCTTCCTTTCTGATGAATGGGAGCAGGAAGTAGTAACATGAAGGAGGTACCCCTTGAAAGAAGCAAAAATGAGTGTACTTCTACTAAGTAGAGCTGTAGCTATTTCTACCATGATTTCTGTAACTGATAGCTGGTCATTGTTTTAGTTGCATTTTGCTTTAGCTGTCTATATTTCACATAATCACATTGTGGAAAGTTACTATTTGTTCTTGTAAACCTTGTTTTTGGTAAGCAGGAAAGAGTTATCAAAGTGAAAGTAGTGGGGTGTTCATTATCTACACTTGAGATTTTCATTTGCATAGCTATACAGGTGTTTGGAGACTGATTAACTGCTGCAGAAATTACTAGAAGACTAAGCACATTACCTGTGCTTAGTTCCCATCTCTATATCATATTTTTTTAGCATGTAAATATTTGTAATATATATCATGACATATACATATGACATATTGTCACTGTTTTCTTCCTTTATATTGCTAAACCTTTTAGTTCCTGTATGTAACGTCACAATATCCTGTCACAATGCTACTTAAATATTGTTTCTCATTTCCTCACACCTTGCATCTCTAAATTTTGAAGAATATTTATCAGTCATGTAGATAATGATTTCAGTATCTTTACAATATCAGAATTTATGCTTTTATTTATATCTGGCATTTGTGGTATTTGTATATACAAAGTATCTACCAGTTGTGTATATTTTTTTGATCTGGAGCACTGTTTAAGTGGAAAGTCTAATTTCATTGCTTGTTTTTTCTTGACTGTTTTCTTCTTCCAGATGGAGATTCCTCCAGCTAATGTAAATGAAGTCTTTCCATTGACTTCAGCAAGAGTCAGCTTAGTTCTTGTAGAAGGAAGTTAATAGCATGGAGACAGACTCTTTTTGTACAGTTCTGCCTGGGTTTGCAAACAAACACTAGACACTCCTTTATTTCTCTACTACTGCTCTGAAAGACAGGACATCCTGCTTTTCAGAACAAAAGATATTAAGCCTACTTCAACTAGGTCAATTGCCACAGAAAATGGTGAGGTTTCTTCTGTAATTGTCTAAAAATTAGGTTTGTGCCTTGGACAATACATGACTATAAAACTCTAGCCTAGTGAAAGAAATATTTTTTTATTCTTTTTTTTTTAGATTTTGTTTACATTTTGTGTTTGAGACTAAAGGTGGTGAAAAGAATTTGAGCAAAACAATTAATTTCTGCAGGTAATGAAAATTGGTCACTTGTATGTGCACAACTCTGCTGTTTGTCCCTTTCAGGTACCATTCAGGGATACAATGCTCCCTTTATGAAACAGAAATCTGAAATGGCAGGGGAAGAGGCTCCTATTTTTCTCTATTTCTTTCATGCAGGTTCAGTGTCTCATACAGAATAGCTTCTTCATGGCAAGTAAATTGCTTCATAGAAATTTGCAGTCATTATTCACTGAATTGATTAGAAATGCCATCAGTGAGTCTCAGAACCATTGTATCATTGCCAATTCGAACTACTTAGTGGATTTGAAATTAAAGCACAAAATACACAGAGACTCCTGCAGTTACAAGACTATAG